GGCTCAAGCGAGTCTCCTGCCTCAGCCTCCCAAGTAGCTGGGACCACAGGCACCCGCCACAACGCCCAGCTATTTTTTGGTTGCAGCCGTCATTGATGTTTTGGAGGGCCTGGGCTGTATTCGAACCCGCCACCTTAGGTGTATGTGGCTGGCACCTTAGCCACTTGAGCCACAGGCACAGAGCCATGAGCCATTTTTCTGAGAGAAACAAATAAAAAAAAATTGCCAAAGCAAAAGAATTATCTGTATACAAACTAGCTTCTTTGATATACCTAAAAAGTAAAAAGTATACTACAAAAGGGTGATGTAAGAAACTGTGAATTTATATCCATTAAATGAATCTCACAAATAAACAGGACAGGAATAGACAATTCACACGGAAGTAAAAGGAGTTTATAAATATTTGGCAAACCAAAATGTGGAAAAATATGTCTTAGATAAGACAGAAAGATTATTCTCCTCCTTATATAAAGAGCTCATAAAATCCAAGACAGAAAACTTCAGGAAACCCATCAGTATTTATGAAGGCTAGATTAATTCACCTCTAAGTCATTTCGTAGGATACAAATGAACTAAGAGTCCACTTTTCACCTTTCAGCAGGTAAAGATACTAAAAAATCAGTTCACAAAAGGAGCAAAAGGATAGGAGATGAACATTTAAACACGGTGACTGGTACCCACTGGAAGAAATCTGTGGCAAGAGATCTGGCACAGGATCTTGGGGATTAAGCTTGTTTCTACCATTTGACCCAGAAATCTTAGTGCTGAGAATTTTCTTGGGGAGGTAGTGCTAATTATAGAAAAAGTCTTAAGTAGTCCTAGGACAGTTATTTACATTTATGATCGTGACTAATCAGAAAGTACTTAAATGTCTATAGGGGGATTTAATTTGCTTAAATCTAAGCAATGGACTACTACGCAGCCACAAAAAATATTTGTGAAGAGCATAAAAACATTTGCAAAGTGGCTGTTTTGTCAAGTACCAAGAGTGGAAATGACTTTTCAGTTTTGTTAAAAAAAAAAAAAACACACACACACAACCTTGAGGCTGCCATACATATATAAATAGGGAAAATGGGAACTTATAGCTAAATGTACTTTTATTTACAAAATTTTTATTTATTTTCATTATAAAATTTTACAAAATATTTCTCTGCATGTTGATACATAAATACAAAAAATATTAAAAATATAAAGTATGAGTTTCTTAAATTTCTTATTTATGGTGACTTTTGGGACATCCTGTCTTTAAGTATCAGAGTTTTCCATTCTAATTGAAATTATATTCTTAGGTTAAGAGCTCTAAAAACCCACAATATATTAAGGTATTTGTTTCAGACTATTTGATTTAAAATTCAGCTTCAATAAGCAGAACTTCTCTCAGTTAAAACTTTATCAACAGAATGTTCTGTGGAGGTACTAAAAGCAACTAACAACGTTTTGGATTACTTTTTTGAGACAGAGCCTCAAGCTGTCCCCCTGGGTAGAGTGCTGTGGCATCACAGCTCACAGCAACCTCCAACTCCTGGGCTCAAGTGAGTCTCCTGCCTCAGCCTCCCAAGTAGCTGCGACTACAGGCGCCCGCCACAACACCCAGCTATTTTTTGCTTGCAGCCGTCATAGTTATTTGATGGGCCCAGGCTGGATTCAAACCCGCCACCTTGGGTATACATGGCTGGCACCTTAGCCACTTGAGCCACAGGCACCAAGCCAGGATTACTTTATATTAATATATATTCACTTTTGTATTCTTCTCTTCCTCTCAGTTTTGGGAAATGTAATGGGAAAAACCTATTCAGGATGGCACATAATTATTCACGAATCTCTTCTCTGTTTGTGCGTCTACCTGGAGTCAGCCTCCAGAACGCAGGGTAGACAAAAGTAAGGAAAGATTCCGGGGATATGGCTGGGCTCAGCAGCTCATGCCTGTAATCCCAGCACTCTGGGAGGCCACGGCAGGAGGATCACTTGAGCTCAGGAGTTTGAGACCGGCCTGAGCAAGAGCAAGACCCCGTCTCTACTAAAAATAGAAAAACTAGCCAGGAGTGGTGGCAGGTGCCTATAGTCTCAGCTACTCAGGAGGCTGAGGCAGGAGAATCGCTTAAGGCCAGGAGTTTGAGATTGCTGTGAGCTAAGCTGACATCGTGGCACTCTAGACTGAGCAACAGGGTAAGACTCTGTCTCGAAAAAAAAAAAAAAAAAAAAGATTTAGGAGATAAAAATTTGTTCCATAGAAATTCCAAAATACAACAGTGATCCAAGTCACTGCTGGGTGTATCTTAGCGTTCTTCGAGTATTAAAAGTGTCTGGTACAAAGTGAGGTGGGTGGACCCCAGCAGAGGCTGTTTTATATCAGAAAAGATAAAGCAAGGGCAGGAGTCCAGGGACCCAGCTCTGAACGTCCCCCCACCCTTAGCAAAGGCCCTTCCCAGCCCAGCACACAGGGCCGGGCCGTGTACCTTGGCCTTTGTGATTCACTTCCTTCGCAGCTATCACTTTGTTTAAGACTGAAGTCAGGGGCTCGTTCTCCCCGATCACGTGGGATGTTATCAAGGGTGACATGATGAGCTGCCTCTGGCGGATGTAGGTCTCCATGGCGATCCTGGGAGAGACAAAAATAAAGGTTGAGGAGGGAAGGGAAGTCTGGGGAGCACCGCCTCTGATAGTGGTGACTTGTAGGGGAGTAGCTCGGCAATATCACACTACACTCCATCAGGCCTCTGGGTGCCTACCTGAAACACTAAATTCATCTTGGAAAGACTTAAGGCAAAGAGGAAAAAAAGAAACCCAAGAATAAACAAAACTGAAGACCAAATGTTAACAGTTAAAATCACAGGCAACACTCCAGGCTCTTTCGGAGCTGCTGTAAAGGAATTTAAAAAGGACCCAGTGCAGGACAGGCGGGAGGCAGCAGCCCCAGCCCTATTCCTACTTGACAGTTAGCTCTGCAGGAGTTTCCCTCCAGACCTCAGTGTCCTCAGAAGACATGAGATGAGCTCTGATCACTTGCCTTTTGATGCACCCCCATCTAGTGCTGATACCCCGTGTATGAGAGCAGTGTCCAAGAGGGGCATCTGGTGGGTATTCGTAGATTTCTGTGCCATGACTAACTATACCCACAACTGCGATGGGTGCAGCCAAGTAAGCTTCACGTGAATGGTCACATCAGGCTGAGACCCAGAAAGGGTAATCAAAGAACCACACACAGTCTCCATCTTAGGGACAGCAAACACCCCATCAGTAACTGCAGGTCACCTTGGAGTTCTCCTCTCTGCCCGCTCCAGGCAGGCCAGCTTTCTCTGCAGAGTTCCTTGCACCCTGAGAATAAAACTCACTGCATGTATGGCTGGGAAAGGGACTGCCAGCGTCTGAGGGTTTTTTTGTTTCCAAATGAGTCTGTCTAGATGGATTTGTAAAATACACATATAAAACCCTCCTAGAGGAAAACACTACTGAGTGTTTGAAGTGGGTTATAAAACGGATTATGAAATAGGTCATAAATCTTAGAAGTTAAATGCCAGAGGCTGCCATTCGCATGGTGAACCCGTGACTGTGGCTGCTGGCTGCACAGTGACCTGGAATCAAGTTAGGGCCGGGTTTGTCAGGCACTCAGAGTGGGTATTATCACACAGTGGGGACAAGCTCAGGGCTCACTGTGGTGACATGGCTTCGGGAGGACAGCTAGTTCAGAAATTGAACAGAGAGGCAGACAACCAAAGAATGAAACCCACCATAAAGGTGAAAACAGACTGATATTTTCAAATATCAGTAACTTTCAAATCCATGAACAGTGTTCCTATTAGATATATAATATAATAATATTAATACAAATACACACACATATATATAAAATCCATTATATATGCATATGGAAGGAGCAGTATTTATAGGTATGGTACTATGTATTATATTTTATATACATTTATATTTCTTCAACACATAGTTTTGTGCTGTATAACAAAGTTTTGCTCAACGATAGCCCACATACACAATGGTGGTCCCGTGATACTATAAAGGTCCTGTGATGCTGTAGCTCTCCTAAGGCTGTAATGCAACACAGTACCTAGTCTATGTTTATCTAGAGTCAGACACACATTTACCACTTTGTCACAGCTCCTTACAGTATTCAGCACAGTGACATGTCAAACTATGGGTGACCAAAATGTCAACATAAGGCCAAAATCTATTTAATTGCATGAATCACTCTCCTCTCTTCCCCATTTCCATCCAAGAACTATCATGGCATCAGAGATAAGGATTTTTTTTTTTTTTTTGAGACAGGGCCTCAAGCTGTCCCCCTGGGTAGAGTGCCGTGGCATTACAGCTCACAGCAACCTCCAACACCTGGGCTCAAGTGAGTCTCCTGTCTCAGCCTCCCAAGTAGCTGGGACCATAGGCACCCGCCACAATGCCCAGCTATTTTTTGGTTGCAGCTGTTATTGTTGTTTGGCGGGTTATTGTTATTGTTGTTATGTTTCTTAAGTGGTAATCCAGTTTTCTCCTACCCCAATTTTTTTTTTTTTTTGCCTAACTTACCTTTCTTCATTAATTTGTGATATTATTTGTAAAAGTATGATATATTAACTCAAATATCCGTGGTCTGGTTTCTGCAATTCTTAGTTTGTTCTATTGATCTGTAGAGGGAGTTACAAGTGAGCTGAGACAATGACATCTAACTGGCATGACAGTGCCAGCAGGGGTCAGTTCCAGCAATGTTCCCAGCCTCTGCCCGGCCAGCTCCCCTGCACTGGTGCTGGAGCCAGGCAGACCTGAATTCCCATTTATAGGCATTGAGACTGGCTCCCAATGGCTCCTGAAGCTCATTGTGAGGGGCCTTGCAAAGCCCTATGGGAATCCTTTCATGTACGTTCAGGTTGGCTGTCTCTCCAACTTGCACAAACCCTAAGCCATGGATCAGTCACCTCTGTTCTCTCTTATCTCCTAACGTGCTACTCCGATGAGGTCCCCTGACCAGTAGCACCTGTAATCAACTGGAGGCTTGTTAGAAGCAGGCCTCAGACCTATTGGATTAAATTCTTTATTCTAACATGACCCCAGCTGATTCACATGCATGATCCAGTGTGTGCAGCCCTGTACTAACCCACGAGATTCCCTGTCTTCCGTGAAACCTGTTCTGTATGATCAACTACAAATATATGCTGACACCTGTCACACCAAAATGGCCCCATTCTCAGGATTCTGGCACAGACAGACATGGCCCTTGATTTACATATTCCTTAGGTCACTTCGGTAGACTCAGGAAAGTTTAGGTTGCCGTCTTAAATAAATCCAACATAAAGGACTTTGAAAATAGTCTTTGTCCAGCTCCTATCTGACAATCTTCTCGCTATGGGCCCCTCCTTCCCTAATGACACCCAGCACCTGGTTCTGTGCAAACATGCCAAGCGGCTGGCTAATCCAGGTCTCAAGTCACCGGGAGGAATGCCAAGGTACTTACTGCTGAAAGGGAATAAAATACTGCTTTTCTTCATCATCCACCTTCCCGTGTACAATATCAGTAATATCCATCACTGGAAAAGAGATAAACCTCATTAAAGAAAGTAATTGCTTCACGCCTCAGCAAGTTACGATGGAGAAGGACAGTAAACACCAGAGGAGGAAGACACCACACTGGGACAAGGAAGGTTCTTTGATTTCTAAGCCAGCGATGATTCCCGGTGTATCCGGCCCTGCAAGACAGCAATGCACAAGGTACTTGGGAAGAGGCTTAGATACAACCGGATCAGTCCTGCAGGCTACCGTGTTTCCCCGAAAATAAGACACTGTCTTATATTTATTTTTTCTCAAGAAGACACATTAGGGCTTATTTTCAGGGGGTGTCTTATTTTTATTAAGTATAATACAACAATCTACATTTATTCAAATACAGTTAAGTCATCTTCTTCTCGAACCTGACGGGGGCAGGGCTGACCTTGTTGGTGGGGCTGGTGCTAGTGATGCAGGAACTCCTTTCCCCTAGCCGTTCGCTTGGGTGCAATAGGATGCCTGCAACTGTGGTTACCACACGTGCACCTTTATAAGTGTGAACGGCTCAAAGAAAGGAGCTGTGGCACATAAAAGGTATTCCAGTCTTCCTTACTGCTCTGCACTGAAATGCATGTATAGCCACGCCCATCACTAGGTCTTATTATCAGGGTAGGGCTTATATTTAACAAATACATAGAAATCCTGCTAGGGCTTATTTTGGGGGTAGGTCTTATTTTCGGGGAAACATGGTACACACTTTAAAGATTCTATAAGATCAAGTTGCTAAATTCTTGAGAATTTTGACACTAGATTACTTTTTAGTTAGTCTGCATTCAAAGCCACAGACAGCACATGGTTTCGGCAGGAACATCAGAAGAATCAAAGACCTGGAGAGAATCTCAAATGGAAATAGTCCACATGTCTTTCTGATTTGCCTACTTTCTGAGTAAGCCAGGTCACCAACAGCACAGAACAGATTAGTGATTTGCTCCTTTCCACACAAGAAGAGCATTTAACAGTAAGGCCCTGTTCTAAGCCTACTGCAGGTGCTACCCAACTCATACAGATATCTTGGCCCCATTTTAAGAGATCAGGAAACTGAGGCACAGAAACTTTAAAGAATTTGCCACAGTGATTACAGAGCCAACCCACATAACCACCTCAGCCAGAGAATTAGCACCTGGGTCACTCCACAGCTACTAAAATTAGGCAGGGCTCCCAGCAAGAGGCGATCCCTTGGTTAATAAATTACAGTCCGGCCATAAAACACACAGTGACAATCTACTCCCCAGATAACTTGGAGATTAAAAAGAAATACTGTTATCTGAGACAATAACTCATAATGAAAAATAAAGGTAAGGAAAGAAATGCCGTCTCGAAACTAACTCAGACAACGCAGCACGGAAAGCTGGGAAAATAATAACACTGCTGAGATGTAGGAATAAGCAGGGAGCACGGTCAACTAGTCGGCCCTTCATGGAACCCTACTAAAACTGTACCAAAAAAAATATGGAGACGTTTTTATTTGACGTCCCCAAATAGGCAGTTCATTTGTTGACGCCATCACCTAGTTACTCCTAAGCTCTGCTGATGGTTGGAATCAAGGCTCATTGTAAATCAGTCACCTCTCCCTTCCTGCGATGTTCAATACCCCCCACAAGACACACACACAAGAAAAAAAAAATAGAAAAGAAAGTAAAACTCTGAAGCTTCATGCCTGAGTCTCTCTGGCCCATTCTAAATGACACCGCCCTTGAAGATGCCCTACCCTGTTCCTTTTCTGGAACAATAAGATCGCCAGACAGGTGGCCACCTTGTCCTGGGCCAGGGCCCCTGGCATCATCTGAGATGTCATTTTCATTCTCTTTTAGGAAGTAATGCTGTTCCCTCTGGTCAGAGCTAGAGCAGCAAGTGAGTCCCAGGGCAGACAAGGGCTGCAGCGAGTCTCATGGGGGACGGAGGCCACTGAGCTCTCCACATACCTCATCGGGTCAACTCTGAGAACACGGGGCACCTGGACCCTTGTTCCAGGAGCACAATTATGATGTTTCATTGATGGCCGTCAAACTGTCAGTGACCAAAATGTCAACGTAAGACAAAAAAATCTATTTCCTCAAATGCACCAACTACAGGGGAAGATATCATACTTCTTGGAAGGTTCTGGGTCTGCTGTGAGCCCAGGACAACGTCGAAATTTGAAGACCAAATTTCCTAGATAGGCAAAGCGCTTGCCAGTGTATTTTATGCCACTAAATTCAAATGCAGACGGAGGCAGGGGCGTCCTCAGGGCAGTCATGCCCGAGGTTGTGAATAAGACACTGTTTGGGGCACTCGGTGGGGACACCAAACCCAAGAAAAGACACCTGGTCGCCCCAGGCAGCAGGTGTGTGCCTGATTACCCACCAGGACAACCTGTCTCTGGGCAGGCCTGCCCTTCTCTCTCCCTCTTTGTTTTAATTTTCAAAATTAAAGCAAAACACACATAACATAAAATTTACCATCTTCACAATTTTAAATGTATACAGTTCAGCGGCCTTAAGTGCATTCACGTGGTTATGCAGCCGTCACCATCATCTCTCCAGAACTTAAATTCTGTCCCCATTAGACACTAGCTCCCCATTCTCATCCCCCAGGCTCTGGAAACTCCCAATTCTACTTTATCTGGAGAAATTCGACTCCTCTGGGTGCCCCATGTATTTGTCCGCCTGTGACTAGCTTATTTTTACTCAGCATCCGTCCTCAAGGTTCACCCATGCTGTGGAATGTGCCAGAATTTCCTTTTTAAGGCAAGGAACACTGCACTGTACGTATGTGTACACCCCACGTTTTGTTAATGCATTCGTGTGCTGCTGGATTCACGCACTGGGCTGCTTCTGCTTTTCAGCCACTGTGAATAACGCTGCCGTGGACACAGATGCACCAACATCTCCTTGAGACGCTGCTTTCAATGCTCATGACGTGGGACTTCTGGAGCATCTGGCAGTTCCATGTCTAATATTTTGAGGCACCATCGTCCTGTTTCCCACAGCGGCCACACCTTTTGCCTTTGACCCTGGCTGGTTCTCATACCTGCTACTCCGAAAGGTCTGCGGAGGCCACAGGTGTGCTTCTTGCCTTCCTTCAGCTCCATGTGGCCCACGCGGACGATCTGGCACACGAGGCTGATGCGGGGCCGGATGAGGTCGGTGCTGCTGAGGTCCTGTGGGGCAGACAGCATGGGGAGACCAGGTCAGGCTGAGTCACGCTGCCACCTGCATCTTTTCCTTCAACAACAAAATACTGTGCTTGGCTCTCACTGCTGAAGTGTGTCTGTGCCACACTGGGTAACTGTCAAACTATGGGTGACCAAAATGTCAACATAAGGCCAAAAGCTATTTAATTGCATGAATCACTCTCCTCTCTTCCCCATTTCCATCCAAGAACTATCATGGCATCAGAGACAAGGATTTTTTTTTTTTTTTT